AACATGAATTCATATGTGAATAAATGATTTTAAGTTGAAACAGTGAATTACATTTTATCTTGTGTAATAGATATCAAGTATATAGGAGACAACATATGTAAAAGTTACGTTTGAAAAAATCTCGGCAATTAACATTTAAATAATCCTAATGTCTCTACCAGCACTATAGTTTGCGATTCCTCAAAAAAATGATTGAAACCAACATTACTCAATATAAATAGGCTTTAAGACAAGTCTATAGTAAATGCTTGTAAAAACACGTTTATAGGTTGGTTTTGTGCTTAGTAAGAATATGATTCATTTGATATGAAATGTGATCAGAATGTTGCCCTATGATGGTGTATGCATCCATCCATATATTGTCGTTATTAGAATGCACTTTCGATTAGGGTCAAATAATTCGTTATTACTACAATATAAAGGCTGTGCCTAAAACAAGTAAGTTGCGAAAATAATATCAAACTGATATGTGAATTAATGCGTTGTCAATACCATACTATAGATTGACTTCATATGCACTTTAAAAGGGTCAACTTAAACACTAAGATTATTAATTTATAAGTTGAAAGATAAATCGTCAAAACCGAATTTATGTTTAACCACATACTAATTATCAACTGCTTAAGTCCTTAATGGTTGCATACAATTAATCACAGTTGATTTATATCAGGTGTACAGAGAATATTAACTAAAATTGTTGTTTAAGATGTGGTATCATTCTCTGGTTTCCAACAGGAAACCAACTAATTAACTTTTGTTTTTCTTCCTTGTGATTGCGGAGATCATGAACCTAATTTTTAAATCTAGTCATTTATTTTCAAGCACTCCAGCTTCATCATAACTGCTATTTCGGTAACTTGACTAAGCGTTTCGTAACAATATGTCGACACCTCATTAGTAGGAACACCTGTTTACTTGATCTCATGTCAGACCTCTACAATGACGACGTTAAAGATCAATACTACGAAAGGCTGCAGTCAGTCGTCGAGAAATATTCACCAAAGGATTTGGCGATTCTTATGGGAGACCTGAATGCAAAAGTTGGCATCGACAACACTGGCTATAAAGACATCATGGGACGACATCGACTGGGAGAAAGGAACGAAAACGGTGAGAGATTTGCAAACCTATGTGCCTTCAACAAACTGGTCATCGGTGGCACCATATTCCCACACAAATGCATACACAAAGCCACATGGATTTCACCGGACCACACTACTCAAAATCAGATTGACCATATCTGTATCAACAAAACGTTCAGAAGGACCATGGAGGATGTGAGAACCAAGAGAGGAGCTGATATAGCCTCAGATCACCACTTGCTGATCGCCAAAATGAAACCGAAACTAAAGAAGCACTGGACAACGGGGCAGACAACATCACAGAAGTTTAATGCGGCCTTTCTTCGGGATACTGTAAAGCTCAACGAATTCAGGATAGCCCTCACCAATAGGTTCCAGGCCTTGCACGATATACTCAATGGAGAGGAAGCAACCTTGGAGAACAATTGAAAAGGGATTAAGGAGGCAATCACTTCCACATGTCAGGAGGTCCTTGGTCGCAAGAAGCACCATCGCAAGGAATGGGTCTCTGTTGATACTCTTGCAAAAATTGAAGAAAGGAGGAACAAGAAGGAAGCAATCAATGTCAGCCGAACAAGAGCGGAGAAAGTTACCGCACAAGCTGCATACACAGAAGCAAACAGGGAAGTGAAGAAGAGCATCAGAGCTGACAAACGGAAATATGTGGAAGATCTAGCAATGACGGCGGAAAAGGCTGCAAGAGAAGGAGACTTGAGACAACTGTACGAAACAACAAAGAAGCTGGCCGGAAACTATCGTAGACCAGAACGACAAGTGAAAGGTAAGGAAGACAAAGTAATCAGCAACACTGAAGAACAGAGAAATAGGTGGGTAGAGCACTTTCAGGAACTATTGAATCGACCAGCTCCACTGAACACACCCAATATCGAAGCAGCATCCACGGACCTCCCAATTAATATTGGCGCACCTACGATTGAGGAGATCAGTATGACCATCAGACAAATCAAGAGTGACAAATCAGCAGGACCAGACAACATTACAGCAGAGGCAATGAAAGCAGATGTAGAAGCAACTGCGAAAATATTTCACATCCTCTTCAAGAAGATTTGGGATGAGGAACGAGTACCATCAGATTGGAAACAAGGATACGTGATCAAAATACCATAGAAAGGCTATCTCAGCAAGTGTGAGAATTACAGAGGCATCACTCTTCTTTCAATACAAGGCAAAGTCTTCATTAGGGTATTGTTAAACAGAATGAAGGACCTCGTAGACGCCCAACTTCGAGATCAACAAGCCGGATTTCGTAAGGATCGATCGAGTACTGACCAAATAGCTACATTACGGATCATCGTGGGACAATCAATTGGATGGAATTCACCACTCTACATCAACTTCATCGACTACGAGAAAGCATTTGATAGCGTGGATAGGAAAACACTGCGGAGGCTTCTTTGACACTATGGTGTGCCTGAGAAAATAGTTAACAGCATACGGAATTCTTATGATGGATTCAACTGCAAAATCGTACACCGTGGTCAGCTGACAAACTCTTTCGAGGTGAAGACCGGTGTGAGGCAAGGTTGCTTACTCTCACCCTTTCTCTTTCTCCTGGTCATCGACTGGATTATGAAGACGTTGACATCTGGAGGGAAGCACGGTATCAACTGGACAGTTAGGACGCAGCTGGACGATCTGGACTTCGCAGATGACCTGGCTCTTCTATCTCACACGCAACAACAAATGCAAGAGAAGACGACCAGTGTAGCATCAGCCTCTGCAGCAGTAGGTCTCAACATACACAAAGGAAAAAGTAAAATTCTCCGACGCAACACAACATTCACCAACCAAATCACTCTTGATGGAGATGCTTTCGAGGACATTAACACCTTTACATATCTGGACAGCATCACCGACGAGAAAGGTGGATCGGAGGCAGATGTGAGGGCGCGGATTGGCAAAGCAAGGGCTGCATTTCTACAATTGAAAAATATCTGGAACTCCAAACAACTTTCAACCAAAACCAAAATCAGCATTTTCAATACAAATGTCAAGACAGTTCTACTGTGTGGAGCGGAAACATGGAGAACTGCGAAAACCATCATCCAGAAGATACAAGTGTTTATTAACAGTTGTCTACGCTAAATACTTCGGATTCGTTGGCCAGACACCATCAGCATCAATGTACTGTGGGAGAAAACAGACCAGATCCCAGTGGAGGAGGAAATGAGGAAGAAGCGGTGGAAGTGGATAGGACACACTCTACGAAAAGCACCTAACTGCGTCACGAGACAAGCCCTCACATGGAACCCTCAAGGCAAAAGGAAAAGAGGAAGGCCAAAGAACACACTACGCCGAGAAATAGAGAAAGATATGAGAGGAATGAACAAGCAGTGGACAGAACTGGAGAAGGAAGCCCAGGACAGAGTTGGTTGGTGAAAACTGGTTTGCGGCCTATGCTCGATTGGGGATAACAGGCGTAAGTAAGTAAGTAATGTCAGTCCTCTGTTTCTATAAAGAAATTTGTCAAACAAAAGTGACCAGATCCAATCAACCAATCGCCTGTTACCCATTATGGCCTATAGGCCGCCAACCATTTTGGTCAGACTTTTTTAATCGATTAGGTTTCCTATGGCATAAGGTCGCTAAACCCATACTTAACTCACCTCGTTTATATGGATTCGGAACCGGTAATAATCTTAGAACGGGTTTGGGCGAATTGTCCCGATTGGAACTTTAAATAGCCTGAATTCTTAAGAATAGTCAACAAAAGGATAACAATACTCCACTAACTTGACACTTTCTTGGATTTGTTAGAATACCTGTGATATCTTTTAAGCACCATGTGAGGATATCTTCCATGAAATTATTAGTTAAGTGAATGAAGGCTGGTACTAACTGCATACATATCGAAATAAACGACAAGCCATAATCTTGACTTTGATTAATATAATATTGTTCTACTGAATAACATATTTCATCTGCTTATCACTTCTTTTTTGTAATAATAAATGTTGTTATATGCTGTTTAGTTTAAAAACCACTAGCGAATAAAAGGAAACCTATTTTTTTAATTTTTAGACAAAATTTGAAGTAATAATTACCTAGACTAATGATTTTCATCCCATCTAGTATGTAACTTTAGCTATAAAAAATATATTTCAAAAATTGTGCTGTGCTCATGAGTCTCATGTTAGGACAAAACTTTTTTATCCAATGCTTTCAGATTTTCACTAGCGGTCTAGCTAATATCAATTCATGGTTTGTACTGTAGAAATGAAAGAACTTGATTATGTATCTCGTTGAAATGCAAATGGATTATTCCTCCTTAAATTAGCTCAAACTTCTTTCTTATTTTTTCGCTTAACAATAACACTTCTAAGTAGTATCTCTGACTGAAAGCTAAACTAAAAGTAATTGGTTAGTCAAATAATTATCAACTGATCATTAATTTTTTAATTAAATAAACTACAATCTTAAAGTTTTATCATATCCAAAACATAAGACAAATAGTGTTTATTTAAAAAATCATGAGAATAAGTATGATGATTTTTTATTAGTATAAATAGGATAAAATTCTCAGTGAATAAGATATGTGGTCTAAATAAATAACAATAGCACTGTTCAATCCTGTTAAATTATATTGACAAACAAGTTCTACTATTTAATTGGTTGAATATAACATAAATTTACAGTTTAAGATATGAAACGATGTTGAATAATGAGAAGTAACAAGCAATATAATCAACAGTGGATTAGTTTTTGTAAATGTGAAATACATCTTGTTATATACGATTTTGGCTTTTTTGTTATTCACCGATAACATATCACAGTATTGATTATTTTTAAATGAAAGTAGTTTTATGTATACTATTGAAAATCGATGGAGCTGAAATAATGATGAATGACAATATCCATATAATATTTAGTGTTGATATTCAACATTTAGATTTCTTTTCAATGGGATAATGATGATGTTGATGAAAGAATGCATTCAATACTGAATGGTGAGTCAGTTGATTTATTTAAATTATTACTATTATTATTATTATTATTACTAGTAAAACAAGTTTTCAAGGTTTTTGGAATTTTATTAATATTTTGTTCAAAATGAGATTGCCTTGAAAAATTTACACAATTATTGGCAATCTGATTATCATTTTGCTGTTGTCTATTCCATAAATTAACACTTTCTGTTAAAAGGCTAGATTGTATGTCAGATCGGATTGGATGAGGATGTAAAGAAGTATTATCGTTAGATTTTATGTTGGACTGTTTGTAAACGGCTAAAAATTCCGTAGATAAATCCAAGCATTTCTCTGGTGTAGTAATATTTGGAAATAATAGATTTTGCCCAAACTCATTTATATGATTGGCACACGATGTTAGATTCAATCGTAGCTTATTATTTGAGTCAACATTTTCGCAATCTTTAGGTTGAAAAATTAAGGATTGGGCATTTTTTTGTGTCGTTTTCGATGAAACAAGTTTAGGATTATGATTTTGTCCAATCACTGTTTGCTTCTTCTTTAAAGATTCTATGCGTTTCTCAATCATTTTTCGCCTTCTCTTTTCCAGACGATTTGCTTCCCGTTTAAGCAATTCATTTGGATCGATTGGCTCACCTGAACATGTAAGAAGTTGAGCATTGTGCGCTGGTCTTCCAGGGCCTGTATTTAATTTAGAGGGTAATGCTTAGTAAACAAATGAGAAACAAGACATAATTGTAACATGTAAACTAAGTTATTTTTGATCAAGTTTGCCAGACGGTTAATCATTAAGTTTGCTAAATTACATAATACTTTATCTTGAGTTTTATCTAAAATTGAAGGTTTAGAGTTATCCATTCGGCTTGAGAATATAAGTTAAAGAACGAAAGTCGGCTCATTTAATTCCTTTTTTTTGAAGATAACGACACGTCTACTTTAGACAGAACCTGCCTTAGGTCCTAGTGATTTATAAAGATTGTTTTGAGGTTGGGGATAGTTAGCTTGCTTAGCCTTATTTAACGTAAGCATCGCTCTAATTATTGTTACTCAACGCCTGAGATCTTGAGAGGACTGATGTTTTCTGATCATTTCAAACTCTCGTTGTAAAACTTCATAGTTTGAGACACTGTTTCAGCTTCTAAGCTGTGAATAACCTACAGCGGAATTAAGGCATTTAAAACTGATTAATCCCTGACCAATGGTCAATGTTACTTAGATTAACAACCAAACAACAATTAGATAGATAGAACTACGTTAGTAGCAAGGGTTAAGTCAAATACGGGACTGATCACTAATCTCGTTGGTAGAATAGAAAATGAAAGATTATTTAAAAGTAAACAACCGGTATGTAACATCTTATTAACGTTTAAATGTATAATTCATATTTCACGTAATATTTTTAAATAACTTGATTTTATTTCAATAGTTAAACACCTAACAAAGATAATATTTTATTCAATCATGTGATCTACCTTTACGTGTATGTTCTCGTTTACGCCATTTAGCTCTTCTATTTTGAAACCAAACCTTTGAAAAAAAGAATGGAGAAAATAATGTAGGAAAAGGAAATATAACTATTTGTTAATAGTTTAAAACAATGTACATCATGCATGTCATTATCTGTTTTAAAATAAACAACAGTTAAGGGTAGAAACAAACTTACCGCTTACTTTTTTTAATGAAAACTTTACTTAGATTTTTTATCTAATATGAAATGCTTTATAATACTTGTAATGAAATATATCAATCAATGAATAACATGTTTGCTGGTGTTTTTCTTTGAAGAAAACAATATTATGAAATCCTGACACATATAGTACATAACACAGTTTAGCAAAATAAAGACAAGATTACTTTTTAGCAGCAATTAATAATGTACGAAGAAATAAATATATTCGTAATTTTCAAAGAATATCAAGTTACATAAATGTACATGATGTTTATTATTTTCAGTTATTTTCATTATAGGGTTGTGGAGATTTTTAGGTTTCATTTCAACCATAAACCTAGCATTGTCAGACCACTACTAGGAACCTAGAAGCGTTGGACGGCCGTTTAATCCTAGGATGGGATTCATCAACAGTGCGTATCTACGACCCATGCATTCTGGGATCTAACTAAGGATCTTGGGTATCAGGCGCGAATGCCTGACATCTAAACCGTTAAGCCGAAATCCAACGGTGTTGATATCTAACTTCAGTCAACCCATGGTATTACGCGACCTCAACTATTATTTTCGGTAGGTAACTAACTGCCTCACATCCGACACGGCTGAGCTCCACTGGTGGCGCAATATCTTGGATTAATTAAAGTTGGACATGAACGCTCTGTGGTCTAGAGGTTAAAAGTTGGCGTGCAAGATCTGTCCTGGGTTCGATTCCCGCGTGCGAACGTTGTGAGTGCTCACTGCTGATGAGTCCCATACTAGGACGAAAGAGCCATCCAGACTGTCCAGCGAAATAAATTTTAATATAATGGTGTTTAATGTTCAAATAAATGAGGTGTCTATTCGTTAAGTTACAAAATTTAATAACGAATTAGAGCACTAGAAGACCACTTGAGATAAAGTTGACTGGTTAATTCATAATTGAGTATAGCTGTTCCTTGTAAGTAACAAGTAAATATAGTTGATTTTGATCGATAACATATATATATATATATATATATATATATATATATATGTGTGAAGATTAAGATTAACTAGTTGAGATTCACCCGATACTTGTGATCGGTGGATGAGCAGGTTGGATGATCTGGTTTATAAAGCGTCTCAGTACCCTAGATGCTTTTCTCCTCTATCTTCCTCCTGATCATGAATCTCGGTATTTCAGCATATATACTTTCCCTTTATCCCGTCCATATGAACCAAATTATCATTGTTTAGTCTTTCATACTGTTAATGTTACTACAGTTAATTCAATTATTTTGATACTCATATTGCTAATTTCGTTTGTGTATGATTATCTGAAATGAGAGTTTCAGCTAACGCACAGTCGTTCCAGGTGCTGCAGTGATTATGACTAATTGATCATCGATGTAAAGCAATAATCATATAAACTCTGAATAAATATGTCGGTAAAAAGGAAAACTAAGAAAAATTCTGTAGAACCGGCTTACTTGAATACGGGATTCTGGTAAACCTAAACGTTGTGCCAGCTCTTCTCTAACAATCATACTTGGATAATGACTAACACGGAAGACTAATTCTAATTCTGTCAACTGTTGTCCTGAAAAATTAGTACGTGTTCGTCGTTGACGTTTATTGTTGTCATTTTCATTACTGTCATCACCATTATCATTATCATCATCGTCATCATCGATATCCTCCTCCTCATCATCATCATCATTATCATCGTCATACTGATTATCGCTGTCATCGATATCATTTACATAACTACCAGCATTCGATTTAGTCCCAGATATTGATGTATTAGTCTGTTCATTATATAATTTATCAGAAACAATCTCATTCTCATCAACATATACATTATTATCAATATTTTTATCATCAATACTCTTTACTTGATAATTATGATGTACCGAGTGTTGTGTTTCACTATTTGATAAAGTTGTTTGATAGAATTGTCCTTTTACTTCTTCTCCTTCTTTTTCTTCGTTTCTCTGTTTCACTTTCTTAGTCAAATTCATTTCATTGAATGAAAACAAAAATTCTTTCGTTTTATTTTTAGATTTTGTTGATTTGTAATTTGATTTGGTGCATACATTTGATAAGAAATTTGTTGATAAGTCTTTAGTGTTGTTGTTGCAAACATTTACTATATTCTTTTGTGAGTTTAATTTTAATTGATCTGATGAACAGATGTTTCCTTGTTCACCTATATATCAAGGAAAAAATTAAAATGACATTTAATGTAAAAATTAACTTTATGCGAAATGAAGTGTCTAATGACCAATATTCCGTTTATTGATATTTTAAATTGCGTTGTTTCAAATTAAAAATTTGTAATAGAATAAGTAAAGAATAAGTAGAATTTTTAGTGTGGAACACCGACTAATTAAAAATGTACAATGTTTATTTGAGTAAACAAAACTTGTAAGGGTGATCTGCTAATAGAAAAATAGTTGAAACATACAATAAGTGGAAGTTTAGTTGAATTTCAACCCTGTCAGGTGTGAGGTAATGAAAGACAATGAAAGATAGTCGCTCAATACCTTGGACTAACTGGAGTTAAACACCAATGTCGTTGGATGCCGGCTCAGTGGTCGAAATGTGCGGCATTCGCGCACCACACCGAAGATCGTGGTTTCGATTCTCGCCTGGGGGTTTGTGGATGCGCACTGCTGATGAGTCCCATACTAGAACATACGTCCGTGAAGTGCTTCAAGGTTTCTAATGGTGATCTGAAAATGATTCATTCATGATTTCAATATAATACGGAAAACATAATGGGTATGGTTGCGTAAAACCTCGGATAGATTTAAGTTAGACATTAACGCCGGCTCAGTGGTCTAGAGATCAAGCATTCGCGTGTGGGACCAAAGGTTCTTGTTCGGACAGGAGTCACAGATGTGCACTGCTGATAAATCCAATACTAGAACAAAACGGTCTTCCAATCATTCTAGGTTCCTGATAGTGACCTAACAATGATCAATCCAGTATTTCAATAAAACTTAACAATCTTCATAACTCGATAATGAAAAAATATCGAATTTATTTTCACTCTTGGTTAATAAAATATATTCTGATATTTATTATACATTTCTACTTGAATAATAGTAATAATAAATTTCATTAAAAACTAGAAACTAAGAGAGGTTACATGTGTAATTTATTTCTAGTTTGCTCATTTCATCATATTCTTGGTACATACAATTCTACTTATCTTTAATTAATCTCAGTGTTTTGTGTGAGCATTATTTTCTACTCATTTTTTTCTTTTATAGTATGTAATTATAAAAATCACACCTATTTGTAAATATGATAACTTAGTAACAATCAATTGTTTTCACTTAGTCAAACATTACAACCTAGTACTTACATTCATAATATAAGTAGATTCCGTTGACAGATTGAAATTAGTAGTTTTGTTTAAACAAACTATGCCTGGAGGATATGTTATTGCATGTATCCAAAACAGATATGTACATATTGATATTGTGGTTTGCCAGTTATTTAAAATTACGCAATCACCAGCTTAGTAGCAAAACCTGATTGGAAAGTTGACAGGCGAATATCCCGTGAAGTCAAATAAATTAATATTTACACAGGAAATTATTTTATTTCTTAATTTTTAACATTTTTCCTTCCCCCATCATGTTATACATGAACATAGTAGATAGGTGTTACAACAAAAATTTTGCTCTTCACGTTTTACTCTAAACAGAAATACACACCAACATATACATACTAATAAGCACACAATTACATCACAACAAATTTATAATTCTTCCATCTGTCATGACCGATTCATTTGTTTATCAAACTCTTCATGCACAGTGTTGTTTGCTTATATATAATTTGGTGTGCAAGCATGTCAAATCTTGATGGATGATATGTGAAAAGTAAGAGGAAATTGAAGAAATATGGGTGTGACAATTTAAATTATATATTTACTGAAAATTTCCTTGAAAAAAAATCCTCTTTTTTTAAGATTCACGTAAATCAATAAACTAGTGAAATACTTATTTATATTATAATGTTACATGGGATAATTATTTACATGGTGTCTAATGAGATTTATTTATTTTATTTAATAATAAAACAAATCTTATAAAAACAAAGCGAAAATTTTTCTTTACACAAGAAAACTAGACCCCTGGGGTATATACAATCAGTTGTAAACTATTATTTGATTGCATAATAGAAAAGCAGTTTGAAATACTGCCGAAAAACTAATAATATTTTGAGTTTATTGTATTTGTAGATTCATACTTTTTAATTATAATTTGTTAATTATTCTAATGTTTAGATGGTGATCTATTCTGAAAACACTTACGTAACAGGAAATTTGAATGCTAAATAAAGTAGGAGTTTCCAATAACCACTGTGGTCATGACTAATATGTTCTATGTGTTTTTTTTTTCAATAATAAGTTCAAATGAATGCAATGGTTACTGTTGCTAACATCTTAAATTAGAACCTCAAGAATGCACTGATTAGTAAATATAGATAGATTATGAATGAACGATGAAATACGTCAGCTTATAATAATACTAATTAAACAATTTCTGATAATTTCAATTCATTTACACTAAGAATAAAATTTCGATGTTTGGAAACTCATACGTAGGTCTTTGTCTTAGTCAGATCGACACTTTCTAGTTTGATAGTGTCTGATCTTTTAAATTATAGTGTGTTTACTTACTTACTTACTTACGCCTGTTACCCCGAATGGAGCATAGGCAGCCAACCAGTTTTCTCCAACCAACTCTGTCCTGGGCTTCCTTCTCCAGTTCTGTCCACTGCTTGTTCATTCCTCTCATATCTTTCTCTATTTCTCGGCGTAGTGTGTTCTTTGGCCTTCCTCTTTTCCTTTTGCCTTGAGGGTTCCATGTGAGGGCTTGTCTCGTGACGCAGTTAGGTGCTTTTCGTAGAGTGTGTCCTATCCACTTCCATCGCTTCTTCCTGATTTCCTCCTCCACTGTGATCTGATTTGTTTTCTCCCACAGTTCGTTGTTGCTGATGGTGTCTGGCCAACGAATCCGAAGTATTTAGCGTAGACAACTGTTAATAAACACTTGTATCTTCTGGATGATGGTTTTCGTAGTTCTCCAAGTTTCCGCTCCATACAGTAGAACTGTCTTGACATTTGTATTGAAAACCCTAATTTTGGTTTTTGTTGAAAGTTGTTTGGAGTTCCATAGTGTGTTTAGTTTTAGACTAATTTATGTGACATAGAATATTAAACCTAATTGATTGATCACTGAGTAGTGTGAACTATACCATTTTGTTTAATTCTTACTGTGATTGAATTCTGTTGAAATATAAAATTCTGAATAAGTCAATATAGTTGACAAATTTTTATTCACTAATATTCGTTCTATTCATTATGTGTAATAACTAAGTTATACTAAATGAAAAGATAGTGAGAAGACAAATCAAAAACCTAGAAACACTTGTTCACATTGCTAACACGATGCAATGATATCTATGAGTTGACGTTCATTTCCAACTAGACTTTCTGATGAAGAATTATAACTGATGAAGAGAGCCATGAATAACAAGAGAAACTTATATACAGATAATATTGGGTGAGAATTATGCTATATTGAATATCAGCAATAGTTTTTCAAGTGATTTTTAATTTTAAGTTATTGAACTCTCTAGTTATACTTGCGTAGTGTACAAAATTACAATCATAATATATTAGATATACGAGATTTTATTCATTACAATCATTTGTTAATTACTAATATAACAATTATATTCAATAAATTTTATCGTGAAAAAAAGTAAATAATATAACGTAAATAATTTTTATTTATTCTTAACCTCAACTAATTTGATTAATCTTTACGACAAAAAAATAGTTTTATAAAGCCTAGCAACAGTTCATTACAAACTTCAAAAACTGATCTAGCGTAAATTTTCAAAATTGACATTTTTTCTTTCTGCTTAAAACTACTTTTTATTTTCCAGTTGAATAGTTAGATCGGATAATTTTTTTTCTTCAAAAAATTATTATTATCCAAAAAGAAATTCAAAAAAGAACTATAAACTAAAAGAAAATCAGTCAGGAGAAACACTTTTCTCGTTGTTGCCTCTTAGTCCTAGCCTGCCCCCTTCTCCAAAGTAATTAGAGAAAAATAAAACAGAAAAGTGTATACAGTTTTAATTCATTTGTAATTATTTTCCATCTTTTCAAATGGAGGAAGAGGAGGAGGGAGGATCTACAAAGCAGAAAAATACGATAGAAATAATTCTAATGACATTGTTGATAGGTAAACTTTTTTTGGTTTCTCTTTAAATTCTGATGTGTCATGGTTGTGAACTGTTTAACCAACTATTTTGTATTATCATTTGAATTGAAATGTACTAAATCCTAGTTTATTTTGAGTTCAAATTACTACACATCATATGATGTACATACATTAACTGTATATAGGATAGCAACAAAATGTTATGTTTGTACAGTGTGACCGGTTGATTAAAGGATTAAAGATTATATTCCATATGGTGTATAGTGAGGGGAAACTATCAAGTAGAATACATAGGTTGTAAGTTTGATCTTAGTTGTATTCGTCTTTAAATGTTTGTATACAAATGAGACGAGACTGAATTTTTCTTTACGATCTAGTCAATACAATAGATAGGGTCGCTACAGAACGATTACTGATAACACTGATGTTCTGGTGAAATGAACCAAATCATGCTATGGTTATTAATAATTCAGAGATAAATTTATAATTAGTATAAGTACTGACTTACTGTACAACTAGGATATTCATGATTTTGAAAAGCTACCTATTAAATAACCAATGATTGGATTGGTTAAGACGTGTACACCGGCCTACTTCTACACGCGGGGGTGACTGATGTAGGAAGAGTTGGAAGAAAACTAGTAGTGATCAAATCAAAATGTGAGGTAAATTCATGAACATATCAACTACTGAACTTAACCATGTATGCAGATGCGAACTATCTGGTTTTTATCCCTGTGGTAGTAAAGATGACTCAGCATCAATCTCAATAGCCCAGGTACATCAACTTTTTCATACAGTTAATGCATGTTTTTATTTCGTATTTTGTCTTTTATGGGTAATCTTTTATATTACCTACAATGCTTTTATTGTACAATTGTTTATATAATTTCATCTAGCTGTGCTAATAAAGTGTAGCAACTTGAAGCAATATACGCATGTAGCAGGTTCTACGTTGAATACAACTGACTCAAATATTTGCACAGAAATAATACAATGTTATTTATGTAGTGGTGTTTCGTTCTCTGAGCTGGTTGTTTTGGTTGTGGAGATTTCATTGTTCTTCTGAACAACATCATCATCACAAACTTCAGATCTTGAAAAAATCATTAATTTATTTTAAATCTTACTAAGTTTTCGTTATGAAAACACATATATATCAAGTGTATCTAATTTAAAAACTTGTAAAAATTAAACTTTAAAGGTTCACTCAATTATGGTAGTTTTCTCTTTTCGATGAATGTGCATATGTGTGTATGAAATTGATCAGTGTTTTAAAACTTTCCAATTATCGAGTTATTTCACAAAGTCCGAACTAATTCTAAGGTCGGATTTATGAGGATGTAGTCTTCACAACCATAAATTCTTAGTAAATTATATTTTTTTCGTTTAGTTCCTGGTATTTTTAATAGTGTTCATTGCTGCATATACAGCATATTCACCAGGAAATAATCAGACTTTGCTAGTGAACTAATATACCAGAGTTCAAATGCTTACTGCTTTAATCTTTGTTCACTAGACATGATCTTCCTATTGTTTTATACTGTCAGGTATAGTATTCGAAATGAAATTATTTCCGAATTATAGTTTCTACCCTTTACAAACGATATAAAATATTGAAGGTAATCAAATGTAAGCATTTCACTCCGATGAGTTCTATTCTCTTCCATGATTAGACTTCGAATAAAGCTTGGAAATGACAAATAAAGATGGCATTTAAGATAACAGCGAAAATTGTCTTCATGATATTATATAAACATAAAATAAATAATTTTCATAGAATTTTAATTCATGACTATCATGATAACCAAATGAAAACTTGTAAAGCACTAGACAACCGTTACGAGGCTCCTCAATCAGTGGGCAGCCATCGAAGGTTTTCGGTTCGATTCCGGGATGAGGCATTGTGCAGTCGGACTTCACAAAATCTTATATTGATAAAATCAATTGTAAAATATTATTTAATTTATTTTAGATTATTACACTTAATATACTAAGTGTTCCAGTTCATCTGTTTATATGTGAAAAATATAACAAAAATCGTATGGCTTTTTAACTTAATTGTTTTGCATTCTTGTTAACCTTATTCTTTATTATGATTAACTGTAAAGCAGTGAAGAGTGATCACACTAGTGCTTACACTAGTAAGAAATTGAATTGAAGTCGAATTATTCCTACTCATCATAACATCTACTTATTATGACAATAACAATTACAGCATAAAGATTAACAAGTATTCATTTTTCATACTTGTACAGGCTTGTGCAAGCATAGCATTTAAACTTTTTTTTCAGTGTGAGATGAATTCAAACATGATTCGATTGATTGAAACTGACTTACTGTTAAGGCTTGACTTATTGTTTTTTCTTTTAAAAAAATTTTTAAATGATACTCACTGATTATTTCATGAAATACAATCAAAATAGTTTGTTTTGTTTTGTTTTTTGTTACTGTGTGTGTGCTCTTTTCTAATTATTAATGCAGAATATATGTGAACTTATTATGTTCAACTATACAGAAGTACATTTAAACACTTGTAATCTAATATTATTCACCTTATCAGTAGAATTTCACATACTGACCGTTTCTTTTTGAATGTTTCAATTTTTTATAGTTTATTATTATTGTTCCTTTTGATTGTGTTGATGAGTAATGTTCATGATTAATCAAAACAACATTGATCTCATATAATGTAATAAATTATATTTATAATATTTATAGAAAAAATTTTTTCTTATAAATTACAAATAAATAAATTAATTGTAATCATTAACTAATTCATTAACAAACACTGTGAACTACTTACCTATTTGAACTTGTTCCATATTCATATGATTTAATATATTTTGATAAGTTTCTAATTGTTGATGAAATGAACTATTCTTCATATCATTTATTACTGATAGTATCCATGTATTGTTCTATAAAAAATGTAAAGTGTAATTAATGAAGGGATTCAACCTAAGGTTAATACGAAATATTCTGATTATTATTCAGGCTTTTAGATTTAACCGAATAGTGTTGATTTATTTGAGTCTATAAATACTCCTATATTTTTGATTGTATAATGGAGTATTGTTGAATGATGCATAACGTTGTTTGATTAATTCGTCTATTAATAGTGATATTGATGACAATAGTTGTAAACTCATCAGCGACTGATTTAGAAATGGATAGCTAGAATATTTGTCAGACTCTAGGATTATTGAATCTCAGCAAAACTTGGAATAAAATAATTGTCTTTTTATACACATCTGAAATCATCAATCAATCATTGTTAGATCACCATTAGAAAACTGGAAGCACTGGACGTCCGTTTCGTCCTGGCATGGGACTCATCAGCAGTGCGCATCCTCCACAACTCTGCCCGAAAATAATTGTCCCCGATGGCAATCAATGATGATTATGATATTTACTATGAATTAAGTGAAATTAGAAATAGTAACTCACTTGTACATAGATATTGTAATCTCAGAGAAATCTAAAAACTTTTCAATGCCAAATGAGAAGGCAACTGATGTCTAGGTGCCTTCTCGTTATCAGTGATTTTGATGACGGTCAATAATTAATCAGTTTTTATAATTTACCCAAGTATCATAAACAGACTATTTCAGAGTTGCATATTAGCTGGGAATGAATTCTAAGAGGCGTGTTTCGTTCAGCTTGCGACTCGTCAGCTGGATGTGCCTGCACTCCAACGTTCATGTTTACTTTGAGACTTGAACCCAGTATTTTTCATTTCGAATAATATAGTTTGTTAAATTATAAATGGATAGTCAAAATCAAAATAGAAAAATTCCTTCATAATAATTAACAGTCATATTCCTGAAAATGTGCATATTCGTCAAGCCTGTAGAAAAAAGATTTGTGAAATTACTTTCTAAATTTTTCTCTAGCTAGCAAACTATTTCTTTTGATAGTGGAACTTTTGAGTCGTAGTGTCCTTAAAAAAACTGGAATATTAGCTGGAAACCTAATTCGTCATCATGGTTATGACAGAGATTTTGGGAATTTCATGTTGTCATCAAAATTTAGCATTTTCAAGCTATAATAAATATTCTGAATCAACTAACGTAACATGACGATGACTAAATAGTATAAAAAACGCGATGTCACTAATTGATCAAGGTTAGGTATATGGATGACCTAATTTCAACTCAGTGGTCTAAATTTATCACATCTATCGCAAAGAATGAAGGTCTCTGAACTGATGTTTGGTAGGACTGTAAGTACTAACCAATGGAACTATCCAGTGGTCTTTCAGTGTTTGGTTTAAGTTAATCATTGATATGAAACAAATGTCATTTTGATAAATCTTTATTACTGAATCAAAATGTTTATTATTCACTATTGTTTTAAAAACAAAATTATCATTAGAAACTTTTCTTCGTGATAAATCACTACGTAAGTAAGATATTACCGTCGCTTAGATATACAGAAATGACATTCACGATTACTTTAAGACCAGTGCAATTCATTTTGGATGTAATACATGTTATGATTTTGTTTATTTGAAGAAATCTGCCATCAAAAATTGGTTATCTTTTTTTAACATAGTTCAGCATGTGAAGAGATGAATTCACTTAAAAATAATTAACGAACTGAACTACAATTAAAGTCAAGAATTAATACAATTCTTTTTCATGTATTAGTTGAATATTCCGTTCTTGAATGTACAGTACAATGACCTACCTTTGAGGTGAACATTCAAAAAATAGTTAGTTACAAGAGATAACACTGTTGAAAAGTGTTTAGTACGTTTTCCCCAATTAATTTTCAAGTAATATGTCGCAAATTATTTTTAGAGACTAGAAAAAATACCACAATCCGTAAATATAACAAGCAGTTGTGAATGGGAGGTGAAGGTAATTTTGACTGAATGTCATTGATTAGTTAATGCTCAAACAAACAATTCAAATGTACTAATCTGTCTCATTAATGTCTATAATAAGACTGTAACATCTCATCTAGAAAAAATCTGCTGACAGTGAATTAAAATTTTGATAATCTTACATGCTTTCCGTTTTATGGGTCACAAGTTTATTTTATTGTACCTATTGTGTGTGCTTCTTACATGTATTTGCACAAATAGGGTTTGAAAAAAAGTACATTAAAAAAAGACGTAAAATAATTCTTCTGAAATGTTTATAAGCAAAACTATGCTAAAAATTTGAGTTTCATTTATTGTTTCGTGAAAATAAATCTTTAATAGAGAGAAGACGTTCTTTTGATAATTTATATTTATTCGTCAGTATTTTACTCTAATTATGCTTTTGAAATGTATATAATAAATATATCAAGTCTAAATCACATTGAAACAGCAATCATGAATTAGTGATGTGACATAATTTGCATCTAAAAAGACATTTTTATGGATTTTTCGTTTTTTCCAATCTATTTAATTCCTGTACTACTGACAGCATAACTTCTGGGCTACTGCCGGTCCCAAGCCCGGATAAAAGAGGAGGGGGTTGGACATGGTGTTGGCGCCCCCATCCCAACTATAAACTAACTTGCTAAAAAAACTAACCAGAAGTACTGTTAGCATTGTTTACTTTCTAGTAATCTATAATTTGTTGTTGAGTCTCGTTGATTGCACTCGGTGTATAATGATGCAATTCTAAACCATCACAGATTTATATCAATTTTATTGTTGTTCTCTCTTTCTCCATATTCGTTAAAATAAAATTTTTTGTTGCTGTTATGATTAAATTCCCAAGGTTATGGTTAAAACTTCAATCCAAGATCAAGACATCATTTAATGATAAATCTTTGTCACTTAGGCTGGATATTTTTAAAAGGCCAATTGATTGATAAATATGTTATTTATTGTATTCATTTATGTATCATTAATGAAAACGACAGTAGTATACTTACTAATTTAAGAAGCATATTATCTAAAGTCTCTATTTCATTATTGTGGTTCCAGTGTGATTTAGACTCAAATGTATCCTTTAAACTATCAATAACGTAAATGTAAGAAAAATGTTATAGACTCTGTTCTCTACTCATGACTTATTTTCAGTATACAATAAATGGAACTCAGAGTAATGCTTTTAAGAATGAAGTTGAATGGAATTAGATTTAGGCATTTTATTGACGGAGAACTATAGAAGCCAAAATTCAAATTCTAGTAGTGATTATTGTTTTATTAAAAGTTACAACTGTCATTTTTAAATAAAACAATAAAACAGAAATGAATTATTTATGAATGATTTTCACTGCAGATAGTAATCGTAGTTTCTTCGTAGTATGAAACTTCTATGACATCATTCAGACATCACTCTAAAAGTTCTTAGGTAATGAAGTTAGCGTTTACTCTTTATTATTATGTTATAAGAAAAATATAAAATGTATGTAGCTTTTAATTAAATTAGAGATAGTTGCACGATGTTCATTGAATGTCACAGATGAAAATTACCTCACTTTTTATATCGATTTAGCATAGTAATTAGTTTGTTTCATTCTATAATTCGATTTAGTTGTGAGTTTAGTAACTTCTTAAAATAAACTTAGATTAGATTGATGGTTGAAAAGGTATAACGGTTTAGTCTTAATGTGAAAATTATTCAAAAATAGATGACATTTTATTAATATTTTATCAAATTTAAGTGCAATAATTCCTAGTATTATTTTGTTAATATAAAGATTAATGGTTCACTGCAAATATACGGTAGCTATCAAAGGTCGGAAATGTTCATCAATAGATTTAATCTCAGTCATTTCAACAAACAAAAGTAACGTTGTTTCATTGTAATTTTCTAACAAAGTTCGTAAAAATTGTTAAAGAAATCTTGACATTAACGAACAATAAACTGATTTGTTCCTATTTGTGGAAATTTACTCAGTTTTTGTTATGCTCGTCAGTTGACGTATTTGAAACTATTACTAGTTCACCTTAGTCGGAAAACGAAAGCGAAGACAAATGACCCAGTGACACGATAGGCTACTCTAATTCGAGCGTCCCAATGCCCCACTAAGTAGAGGAATAAGTCTTGACAAGACATAGAAAATATATTCTAAAAGCATCAAGAAAATAGAGGTTCATTAGCATACAACTCGAGTTTATTCATACATCATAGAAACGCACTTGAGAGAGCTACGAAAATAGCGTACTTAAATAATACATCCACCATTAACAGCCAAGGATTTTCCGGGTGGGAAATGTAATCTCTAGGTCAGCTGATCAGTCCATGCTTAGGTGAGTTCTGGGGATCCCCAGCAGTTTTTGTACCTGATCGTATAAGACTTTTCTTTAATAGCTTGGTAAATTCAAACTTGTTTATAACTATTATTATCTTCAAGAAACTATGATATTCTTTTTACAAAACTATTTACAAGCCCAATTCGTAAACAAAATAACCATAATCAATAGTCATTCAAACAAATCAGTAACTTACATTTGTAAATTGATTGAAATATTGTTCCTGAAATATTTTTATAACATTCTCCAAATCTATCGAATCACATGTCATATGTTCATGAGGTTTATCAATTACATGTTTATTGATAATAGAATTATTTAGAAATTTATTTTCTAACGGTAAATTATTAAATAATGTTGTAAATTTATTTAATTGTTCTGATGTTAACAAGTTTTGACAATTATTATGATTATTATTATCTAAATATGTATTTAAACAAATAGTCATAGCATTTGAATTGAGTAAATTGTTCTCATTAAATGTATTGTTCATTTTTTTAAAAATATTTATTAATTTTAAAAATGTGTCAACCAATTTCTGAAATAAATTAATAATTATTCATACAAGTTAAATTAAAATTTTCCTTTTTATTTTACACCGAATTTTTAAGATGAGACGAGTTCATTGATCACTTTCACTATCAGTCCACCCACCAACCTATTACCCCTTAACTTAAAAAAAAGTTCCCATTTTTTCTTCATCCCTTACCAACCAATTTATCTGTTTACCATTAATAGATTGTTTTCACTTAATGTCAATCATTAAATGTGTTAGATTGAATTTCTATTTTTCAATCAAACAAGTTAACAGGTTGAAATTATAAATAAACCAATCAAAAATATTTTAGAGGATGAAATTTATTTTGTTTCTCTAACTACCTTATTGGTTATCATATTAATGTATGCAAATATTTATTAAAATAATCATAGGGATAAGTTCAAATAAATGCCTTACTTTCTTCTCCCTTTAACCTAATCTAAATGAATTTTCCTCTTTTTCAATGTTTGAATATAAAATAATTTTACTAATTTTAGTAATCTACCTCAATAACACTATATATTCGAAGATATAATGTGGAATATTTAAAATTAAGCTTATTAGCTCAACTGATTTGATGCTTCAAATGAATTTCATTTTAGAGTCATAGAAAATGGACAGTGAAAGCATGAATCGATCTTTGTTCGATCCTGTCAGGCGTAGGCAGTTACCTACCGAACGTAATGGCCAGTGTTGCGCAATACCTTGGATTGAATAAAGTTTGACATTCACCCCGTTTAATGCCGACTCAGTGGTCTGGAGGTTAAGCGTTCGCGCATGAAACCCTAGGTCCTGGCTTCGATTTCCACGTGCGTAGGTTGTGGATACTCACTACTGATGAGTTTCATACTGGGATGAAACAACCGTTCAGTGCCTCCATGTCTCTAATGATGGTTTAACAGTCATCGATCCTTAATTTCAACATTATGAATTTGTTGTTCTGTAAATATTCATTGATCAATTACAATGTTTCGATCGGCATTTGTTTATCAAGGAACTCGGTATGAGGAAACTTACTTCTTATCCTTTTTCATATTTCATTATGACAGATTTTGGTAACCGAAAGAGGATTGCAGTAGTCAGTATAATAGTCAAGGTCTTTAAGTTTGATAATATATCTTAGTCACTAATTAGATTGGTGAGTTATAAATTAAGTTCACAAAATCAGCATCCATAATTAGTAAACAGTATCTTATGTTTTTTATAAAAATAATAGCAGTATGGTAGAACCACTAGCTAGGAAATATAATTTTAAACTGTTTAAAACTGGAATCATAGTCATCATTATTTCAGCATTTTAAAATAAATTCTCTTTGTTTTTAAGTGCCAAGTCCATTAGACTGCAATCAAACATATAGTATTGGATAAAGTCATTATTATTATTTTCATTATTGGGTTGTGGAGATTTCTGGGTTTGGTTGAAATAATGGATCAATCATTAGAAACCTGGAAGCATTAGATGGCCATCTCGTCCTAGTATAGTATTCATCATCAGTGTACATCCACAATGCTCACACACAGAAATCGCACCCAAGACTTTCGGTCTTATGCGCGAACGCTTAACCTCTAGATTACTGAGCTTGCACTTGATGGTGTTAAAATCTAACTTCAACCAATACATGATAATTCTCAGCCTCTATCATTGTCTTCGATGGGCAACTAACTGCTTCACACTCATGAAGCTGGTCACTAGTGAACACATGATAATTTTCTATTACTGTAGGGTTTTTACGCATTTGAAATCATCAATCAATCACTGTTAGACCACCATTAGAAACCTGGAAACACTGGGCGGCCGTTTCGTCACGGTATGGGACTCATTAAAACCGTTGGGTTCCGATCCAGTTGTTCAAAAGTTAGGCGTTCGCGAACGTTATCGAAGGTCCCGGGTTCGAATCCTGCGAGGAGCACAAGTCGTGGATGCGCACTGCTGATGAGTTCCATACCAGGACGAAACGTCCGCCCAGTGTTTCCAGGTTTCTAATGGTGATCTAACAATGACTGATTGATGATTTCAAATGTGTAAAACACTAATCTTCATAACTCTAATTGAAAATATTATGGGGTTGTGGAGATTGCAGTATTTTAAAATGATACACATTTAACATGAAGTTCAACAATTTTCTGAACAGTGCTGTTCTATATCAGGTCCACTGGATATGAAAGGAAAAATTAGAATCTTTTATGATTAAACAATGAAAATTCTCAAATAGGAGTTAGGTTAAGCATGATAATGAATACCGATATGAATTTATTATTTTAAGGCTTGAAATACAATAAAATATTTTCGATTCGGTAAATACACTTGTAATGAATTTTTAGGCAAATTTTCAAATCAGGAAGAAATGATAGTGTGGTTTTATTTATTACAATATTTAAAAATGGTAAACTGATTATGAAAATTACGATCAAAACACTATTGTCAGTATTCGAAATGTTGAATTTGCATTTTAACTGAAAGATTTGAAATTCTTAAGCATGCCATAAACTATGAATAGACATAGGTGAACAGTTTTGGATTTGGATTAAACATCCTTACAGTTTCTCTGGCAATGGTTCACTTGCGTATGAACTCTCAAAATAAGAACTAGTTTGTTATAAATAATCTTCTATTCATGTTGCCGAAGTTAATTGTGGTTTAACTAGGATACAAATAGATGTCATTAAGATATTCTCAACCTACTGTAAAGAAGAAGAAACCAGATTTCAGCTGAGGAAGAAATAGCTTTGGTGGTGGATGGGACACATATTACAGAATCCACTTAGCTGCATCACGAGGTCAGTCCTTACTTGGAACATTAAGGGCCAGAGGAAAAGAGGTGGACCAAGGAACACACTGTGCCGAGAATCGGAGACAGGCATGAAAGGAATGAATAGTGATTGGGGTGAAGTGGAAAGAGTGGCCGAAGATAGAGTTGGTTGGAAAATGCTGGTTGGTGTTCTATGCTCCAATATGGGTAACATGCTTGAATAAGTAAGAATATTATTAAGATATATCCATATAATAGCTGAAATCAATATACTATAGTAAAATCATATACACTTATTTTGAAATTAATTTGTCGTTTCTAATATTTTATATTGAAACTGATCAATATGACAAATTAATGAGATTGACATTACTTTATTATACTGCTTTTAATAGTAGTCGAGAAAACAATCTACAACTTCACCAAATGTATTTTTGGTTGAACCACTTATCTGTATAAAGTAAAGCTGTTTTAAACTTCAGAATATACAAGATTTTTGAGTTATCTCATACTCTATAACTATAATGCAGGATAATAATTCAAATCTTTTAAAAACTCATCAGTTATTTTTAACTAATAAATAATTGATCATTTTAGTTTACTTTCATACTAGGCTTCTATCTCTACAATAACTTTCGAGTGATAAATACTTGAAATAGTAGATTAGTGTTATAAAAAATAACCACCATATAAGGCTTTTCATTAGCGTTTGCTTAACAAAATTTAATCGTTAAATTTCATTAGATTGTATTGTAATCAACTAATGATAAAACTTGTGAACACGAGACTAGCAGGATATCGATAGTGTTTATCTGGGTTATGATTTCAAGATAACATGTGTCCATTTTATCTAGTATTACAGTGATATCATTGTCCTAAAGTAAATCATTGAAGTAAACTGATTTTGATTCAACTTTGATGCCTTCTGTAAATCGACTTTAAAAGATAAGAAAGTAGTGGTCCCATTCAAATGATGAAATTAGCATATTAGTTAATGTTATAGCTTCAAATTCATTGTATCAGGTTGTAATGAGTTATCTAAAACATTTTGGCACTCGTTATGGTATTGATATTTCAACACAAATATGTTAAACCGGTATTTTCACAGTGCATACTTAGTGACCATGGATCCAACTGAATGTCACAAGCTTCTCTCAGAGGTTACTTTGTTGAGTTAAATCTACTACTAACAAGAAGCCTGATTTTAGCTAGTTTATTCATGTGTCAAATAGCATATGGACTGATGATTTTTAAAATTCTATCTGTAAAACTTTAGTTACTCATGTTATGGGAAATTTAATAATCATAAAAAAACTTCCGAACATTGTTTCACGATTCTTCATTCTGTATCTAGGAAGAGAAAATATACTTTATAAACAAACGAAGTAACTGGTTTGATAATGAAATCACAGCATTGGTTGTATGCTTTGTAAGTTTGTAAAACTAACTCTGATTATCTTTCAAAATTTTGTCTCGATCTATTTTAATCTATCTATTTTATACTGAATAATTTGAAAAGGCTAGTAAATGAAACAACAGAGATTAGATGATATTCATCGATTTGAGAAAAATAATTAAATATCGAATATGGAAAATCAAATCAGTAGGGGAAAAAAAGGATACCTAAATGAATTTAATTTTTATGCATTTTTGATAGTTAAATTTAAAATATCTCAATGGATTAAATGTCATAAAAATATAGAAAAAAATGTTTAATATCAAAGTTAGTGCTTGAGAATAATTGTAAATGAAAAAAAATTGAACAGAAGTTTCATTCCATTTTGAGTACTGACTCATTGAATCAGTGATATTTTGTTCATCGTAGTCCTGAGTTTGATATTGTATACTTTCGTGAATAGCAAATGATGATGAGGTCTGAATGAAAACGTAACAGTTGTACAATACTTTCTTATTATTACTGGTTCACCAGTTATTGAAAGGATTCTATTCAGAAAATAATTACAGAATTAAGACCAGTTTACTAGCATAATCGAATTTATATAAAGGTATCGCTGCAGGGAAGGATGAAGATATGAAGTTAAGAATTTTTGGTATGGTTCATAAATTGTTTTGAGGGAAAGTTTGTCACAAGAATTACAAAAATGTAAGGCAGCAGTTGAGAACCATTTATTCTCACTGGGATTAGGACATAATGTCAGTGTATGAATAATAGGCCATTACAGAGTAATTGTATTCATTTACAAC